TTTTGATGCCAGGAGGCAGATTGCAGTTCAGGGTCATGTCACTGCCATGATTGGCTGTCATAGCGGTCACATGATCAGAAAGGTCCCAATCACAAATGGCACATGTTTGTTTACTTTTGGTATGAAAATATGCGTCCACTCAGCATCAAGGCCAGCCACCGAGAGGCTGCATAGTTGTGTACCATCGGCGCCAAAAGGTTAAGCATGCTAATACATCTTGAGGTGCTTGGGTGACTGTGCCACTGTAGGCGGCAGCAAGGACTAACTGAAAGAAAATGCATGGGTCCTCTACAATTAGCACAATGTCAGCAAGAGCTACCTAATGCTGAGAAGGGGGCACAGAGTATGTAGAGCATGCATGTGACACTGCAGCTTGCGGCGCATCCCTAGATTCCCCAATGGGTTAACCCATTCCATAGAAAATGAACAGGAACATGGGACAATGGTTGTGCTTAACAGTAGGAGAAAGTAATAATTCCCAATGTTCAGTCATAGGACAATGGAACACTCAAAGACTCAGAGACTAGCTAAACCATTAGTAAACATAAACCTGAGTGCTAAACTCTCATTAACCTCCTCGGCGGTATGATTCTTTCCGATTTTTTATGCTGAAAGCGGTACCATTTTTTTGCATGGAAATATGTAGTTTTTTATTGTAGGCTGTAATTTTTAGGAATAACTCACTGAAATCTGTCCGAACAAGAGTCTATTAAACATCCCGGATAAGATAAAACTTGAAACACAAAATCATAAATTATAATATAATAAATAATCAGAAATAATAATAATATAATAATATTACATTTAATTCAATAATATAATCAAACCAAAAACACTGAAATTTGAAATACAGAGGCAAATTCGCACATCGCTGAGCAAAGTCGCAAAATTGTTTTCAGTGTCTGATGACGAATTTCCCCACAAATAATTATCACTCAATTCTGCAAGTGGTTCTGATTTACTATCGCTGTTCTCTAGCCGGTCTAAAATCGCTTTTGACGTAAAGGGACGCTTTTTGGACGCCATGGACTTTTCTAAGTTTCCAGGCAGAAAGAACATTCAAAATGCAGGCAGGGCAGGACAAAGCATTAGGGACAAAATATATGTGAAATGCATTGAAACAGCAATGACAGCAAAAATGCCATTTTTTAAAAATTTCAAATTTCCCGCTGGTTCCGGCGCACGTACGTCCCGATGTCACAGGGACCGGAACACGGAAGCCGGATGCCGGCATCAGCCGGAGGAGATGGCCGGGGACGCTGCAGGGGACACATCGCGGGAGCGAAGGACAAGGTAAGTGCTGCAGGGAACCCCTGAGCAACGCCGCATAATAAGCCCGAGTGTAGCTCGGGGTTACCGCTCTTGGTAATGAAATTTTACCCCCCGAGCTACACTCGGGAAAACCGCTAAGGAGGTTAAAGCTTTATTAAGATTTTTTTAAATTCAAACGTTTTCAATCTTTTTAAATTGTTGCCTTTCATTAAAATGGCCATTGAGGTTCTTGTTCAGGCATTATATTTAGTCAACTGTCACCCAAATATAACATGCAGCCCTAGTTGAGACTACAAGTGGTTTTGATGACACAAGGGGGTTGATTTACTAAAGGCAAATAGACAGTTGTATTCTGCAAGTGCAGTTGCTTCGTAGCTTAAAAAATGAAGTAAAGCTTCACTTTGGAATGAATACCCAATCACATGCAAGGAAAATAAAAAAAACAGCATTTTGGCATGCACATGATTGGATGATGGAAGTCAGGAGCTTCTACCCATTTATGAAGCTCTGGAGCAACTGCACATGCAGAATGCAACTGCACTTTGCAAAGTGCACAGTCTATTTGCCTTTGGTAAATCAGCCCCAAACTGAGTAGGCATAGTCCACTGTTGTCACTATCAAGAAATTTGTTCAGAGCAATAAGGTGCAGCTGAAACTGGATTGAATGCATGTAGACTGAAAGAGGTTGGATGAGATCAACAGCATTGATATGAAAAAAAAGGTTGAAGAAGAGGGATAAACAGTATTTTATAAGATAAAAAGAAAAAAAAAAAGAAAATTGATCATTATACATAGTGCTGAAAGGTTACTTCCCTTCTGCAGAAAAAATATAGATATTTATATAGATATAATATACAATATCCACTTGAGTTCCAAAAGATTTTACCCTCTTCATGACCAGGCCATTTTTTGCTATTCGGCACTGAGCTACTTTAACTGACAGTTGCATGGTCATGCAACACTGTATCCAAATTAATTTTATATACTTTTTTCACACAGAGTTTCTTTTGGTGGTATTTGATAACCACTGTTTTTTATTTTTTATTATATAAATGAAAAAAACAGAACATTTTGAAAAAAAGACAATAGTTAATACTTTCTGCTATAAAACATATGAAATTAAATTTAAAAAAAAAAAAATCAAATTTCGTCAAAAATTTAGGCCAAAATGTATTCTACTGCATATTGTTTGTGAAAAAATTCCAATAAGTATATATTAATTGGTTTTTGTGTTAGAGAGTGTACAAACTAAAGGACAGATACAGGAATTTAATTTTTTTTAATACTAGTAATGGCGGTGATCAGTGACTTATAGTGGGACTGTGATAGTACAGAGGGCAATCTGACACTAACTGCCACTTGGGGTGCATTCACGCGCATGTACAGTTCGGCATGTTTTTGACAGCCCATGAATTTCAATGGGCTATTGGTATTATGGGAAAACTGTGGTGTTATGCGTTTTACTGGCTGTGAAAGTACCTGCATTTGCAAAAATGCATTGGGGTTCAGAGCATTTCCATGTGGTATATGAAAATGTGTTCTTCTGCATGCGTTCATGCATGGCAGTGGGTGTAGATGTTGGTTATGTGTTAGAGAAGACACTGGTAGTTTGTGATGACGCAGAACTTGGTTAGTTGTGTGGCTTAAGTTGCAAACATACAGAACACTTCAGTAATGTGTAACAGCAGACATCTTGGTTTTGAAGAGAGAGAGAGAAGAGAAAAGAGAACCAACAAGTTTTCAGATATATATAAAAAATGCAGCGCTTGAAAAGAAAGGTGATGATAAGACACAGTCCAGTGAACAAAATGTGCTCCGTATTTCCTAGTGCAGGTGGTAAAGATTTACACTAACCAGATAGCGTAAAATTATACGCATGTGTATATGTATCCTGTAGAGTCCCCTTCTGCACTCAGATCTGGTCAAATAGATAGCCGGAAAGGATAGACATCCTACGCCCTCTCGTGGTAAAAGAGTGGTCCAGCAAGTCAGAGCGATGCCAATCAGAGTAAGCCTTCCCCCTTCACTGGAGATGACAAGGAGATTCCCTTGGGGCTGTAAAAGTTGAGGAAGCTCCTCACAGGGGACACAGGGAAGTGCTCATAGTGTAGTAGATAAGGCTTTATTGTAAAAACATAGGTGCACAGTAAAACGGGTGTAGACAGGTATGGATGAACACACTGACCCCCTTGGAATTAAAGATGGCCGCCGGGCCTCCTCGTGGCACCGGCGGCTTAATGTCAACGGCGTCCTAGGTCCACCTGACGCGTTTCGTGCGCACGCACTTCTTCAGAGGTGGAGCAGGGACCGCCGTGACCGTCTCCTCTAACATATATACCGTATCTGGCGCATGCGCACTGATGCGGCGCCATCTTGCCGAGGTGCGGACGCCCGGACCTCGGCAAGATGGCGCCGCATCAGTGCGCATGCGCCAGATACGGTATATATGTTAGAGGAGACGGTCACGGCGGTCCCTGCTCCACCTCTGAAGAAGTGCGTGCGCACGAAACGCGTCAGGTGGACCTAGGACGCCGTTGACATTAAGCCGCCGGTGCCACGAGGAGGCCCGGCGGCCATCTTTAATTCCAAGGGGGTCAGTGTGTTCATCCATACCTGTCTACACCCGTTTTACTGTGCACCTATGTTTTTACAATAAAGCCTTATCTACTACACTATGAGCACTTCCCTGTGTCCCCTGTGAGGAGCTTCCTCAACTTTTACAGCCCCAAGGGAATCTCCTTGTCATCTCCAGTGAAGGGGGAAGGCTTACTCTGATTGGCATCGCTCTGACTTGCTGGACCACTCTTTTACCACGAGAGGGCGTAGGATGTCTATCCTTTCCGGCTATCTATTTGACCAGATCTGAGTGCAGAAGGGGACTCTACAGGATACATATACACATGCGTATAATTTTACGCTATCTGGTTAGTGTAAATCTTTACCACCTGCACTAGGAAATACGGAGCACATTTTGTTCACTGGACTGTGTCTTATCATCACCTTTCTTTTCAAGCGCTGCATTTTTTATATATATGAATTGTGGGACTTTATATGCGTTTTCCTTTATGTTCAGCTGCTGCCACTATTGATGAGCGCTTACTGTATATTTTACCTTATAAGTTTTCAGATATGCACAACTGGTAACCTTAGTGTACAGTGCCATCTACTGGTCAAGTGACATTAACACACAATACTGTATATAGTACATGCTGTTGTATTCCCAACAGTAGATACTCTTTAAAAACCACTTGCCCTCCAGAGGATTTACCCCCCTGCCTTACCAGGCCATTTTTTTTTATATGGCGCTAAGTTACTTTAACTGACAATTGTGCGGTCATGCAACGTTGTACATAAATTAAATTTATGTAATTTATTTTCCACAAATATAGCTTTCTGTTGGGGGTATTTGATCACCTCTGTGTTTTTTATTTTTTTTGCACTATAAACAATTTTGAAAAAAGCTATATTTTTTACTTTTTGCTATAAAACATATCCAATAAAAAAAATTAAAAAAATCAAATTTCATCATAAGCTTAGGCCAAAATGTATTCTGCTACATGTCTTTGCTAAAAAAAAAATCCCAATACATGTACCGTATTTTCCGGCGTATAAGACGACTGGGTGTATAAGACGACCCCCTACTTTTCCTGTTAAAATACAGGGTTTGAGCTATACTCGCCGTATAAGACTACCCCTCTTCCAACGCACACCAAATAAAAATGAAAAAACATCAGATTTGATTTCAATATGGTATGGTATTTCAGTATGGTATTCCAATGATGGGGTGCTATTCCTCCCACTGACACCAATGATGAGGCACTACTCCTCCCACTGACACCAATGATGGGGCACTATTTCATCCACTGACACCAATGATGGGGCACTATTCCTCCCACTGATACCAATGATGGGACACTATTCCTCCCACTGACACCAATGATGGTGCCCCATCATTAGTGTCAGTGTGTGAGGAGTAGTGCCCCATCATTAGTCAGTGGGAGGAATAGTGCCCCATCATTAGTCAGTGGGAGGAATAGTGCCCCATCATTGGTGTCAGTGGGAAGAATCGTGCCCCATCATTGGTGTCAGTGGGAGGAATAGTGTCCCATCATTAGTGTCAGTGGGAGGAATAGTGTGTCCCATCATTGGTGTCAGTGGGAGGAATAGTGCTCCATCATTGGTGTCAGTGGGAGGAATAGCGGCCCATCATTGGTGTCAGTGGGAGGAATAGCACCCCATCATTGGTGTCAGTGGGAGGAATAGCGCCCCATCATTGGTGTCAGTGGGAGGAATAGCGCCCCATCATTGGTGTCAGTGGCAGGAATTGCGCCCCATCATTGGTGTCAGTGGGAGGAATTGCGCCCCACCATTGGTGTCAGTGGGAGGAATTGCGCCCCATCATTGGTATCAGTGGGGGGAATAGTGCCCCATCATTGGTGTCAGTGGGGGGGAGGAATAGTGCCCCATCATTGGTGTCAGTGGGGAGAATAGTGCCCCATCATTGGTGTCAGTGGGGAGAATAGTGCCCCATCGTTGGTGTCAGTGGGGAGGAGGAATAGTGCCCCATCGTTGGTGTCAGTGGGGGGGAGAATAGTGCCCCATCGTTGGCGTCAGTGGGAGGAATAGTGCCCCATCATTGGTATCAGTGGGGAAAGTGCCCCATCATTGGTATCAGTGGGAGGAATAGTGCCCCATCATTGGTATCAGTGGGAGGAATAGTGCCCCATCGTTGGTGTCAGTGGGGGAGGAATAGTGCCCCATCATTGGTGTCAGTGGGGAGAATAGTGCCCCATCATTGGTATCAGTGGGGAGAACAGTGCCTCATCGTTGGTGTCAGTGTGGAGGAGGAATAGTGCCTCATCGTTGGTGTCAGTGGGGGAGAGGAGCGGCTGCTCCTTCTTCCAGTTTGGCCGCTTGATTTTCGCGGGGCCGCTCGGCTCCGCCTCCTCGCTGGTGAATGGTTGCCTGTGTGCCTTTCCAGTGCTGGCGCCCAATCACCAGTGAGGAGGCGGAGCCGAGCGGCCGCGTGACCATCGAGCGGCCAAACTGAAAGAAGGAGCAGCCGCGCTTCCTGGACCGGATCGTCGTGGGACCGGAGCCAGGTAAGGTACAGCAGCCCCTCTGCCCACCCCTGTACTTAGTGTCCGTTGGAGGAGGAGGGGGGGCGGCGCCGCGCCGCCCCTCGAAAAAGTGCCGCCCTGACACCGGCTCGCACCGGCGTATAACGACCCCCGACTTTTCAGAAGATTTTCAGGGGTTGAAAAGTCGTCTTATATGCCGGAAAATACGGTACATTAATTGGTTTATGTGAAAGTTATAGCATCCACAAATGGCGGTATATATACAGGACTGCGGTGGGCATTCTGGCACTGGGTGGGAACTGATTAACTGCCACTGACATCCCCAGTGACACTAATGCAGTGATCACTGCTAATAAAAAGCACTGACACTGTACTAATGACACTGGGCAGGAAGGGGTTAACATCTGGGGCAACCAAAGGGTTAACTGTGTGCTGTGTGTGTGTTTCACTAGTGAAACATGCTGCTTTGTATCTCTTTGCTGTGCAGAGAGATACAAAACAGCATGTCCATGCCGACAGGAGAGAGACGTGTTGTTTACACACAGGTCTCTCCCCTGTCAGCTTTCCCCGATGATTGCCGGGTGCAGTCGGGGAATCTCTGGCCGGGACCCGGTGATTGAGATCCCTAGCCGCCAATGGCAGAGCGGGAAGGACAGCGGCACACGCACCCCCTACCTGGAAATGCAAATAACTTTTATATACATGATTTTGTGCAGCCCTGCCACCCTGTAGCAGTATCTCTGCTATAGGGCTATGGGCAAGTGGTTAAGCAAACTAAATGTCACTCAGTTATGACTTTAAAGTCGACTTTATCTACTTTAAAGCGTATTCTTATCAATTATATGTAATAACATTTATTATTCCCTTTCTTTTTTAAAAATTAGTAAATCTGCTGTAAATTTTCATCACAGGAAATAAAGAAAAAATCTTACCATTGCCTTTGGTGAAGTTTTGAACCACAGGGAAATTCCCTCTGCCACTGAAATTATCAGCTTGTTCCACCAAAGCTTCCTTGACTGCCTGGTAGCCATAAAGGACAACATGGGGCTTGTGGCCAAGGTAGATGGTAAAGACTGGGCCGTATTTGTTGCTCAGCTGTAGTTATGTTGTAACATTAGTCAAGATTGTAAAACATATGGAATAAAAACAATACACATAAGAGAAGTAAAGAATCACAGCAAACAGTAACAAAATACAACTAATGAAATACATAATTTATGTCCTTGATGCTTTGCTTACAGTTTATTGTAGGCTTTCTAATAAGTACGCCCAACACTGCTGACTTGCTTTTTGGTTACTTCTGCTAGTCCATAGACAATTACTGTAAATACCTTTATGTAATTTGATCTACTGTTTTTCAGGCTACTTACAGCAAAGCAGTAAATCACAAAAGCCTCTGCATTGGCTTGGGCCAACAATGGATTTAAGTAGTCATTTTTAAAAGAAGCCTAATGGGCTGCCAAGGCTGACCTCCTTCTGAAAACGCTAGTTACTTGGCTATTGTTGACTTTCTGGCTTCAACGTTTTGAGTCGAGGATAGTCCCTACCCTCCCACAATTTGTTATTGGACATTGAGGATGTTCATAAAGACCCAACAGGAAGTGTATCTCTAATTATACACTCATTGGCCACTTTACTAGGTACACCTGTGCAATTGCTATTAACACAAATGACTAATCAGCCATTCACATGGCAGCAACTCAATGCATTTGGGCATCTAGATGTGGTGAAGACGACTTGCTGAAGTTCAAACCGAGCATCAGAATGGGGAAGAAAGGGGAGTTAAGTGACTTTGAACATGATATGGTTGTTGGTACCAGACGGGCTAATCTGAGTATTTTAAAGACTGCTGATGTACTAGAATTTGCATGCACAACCATCTCTAGAGTTTACAGAGAATGGTCCAAAAAAGAGAAAATATCCAGTGAGCAGCAGTTGTGTGGACAAAATGCCTTGTCGATGTCAGAGGTCAGAGGAGAATAGGAAGACTGGTTCAAGATGAAAGAAACACAACAATAACTCAAATAATCACTCATTACAACCAAGGTATGCAGAATACACTCTCTGAGTGCACAACGCATCGAACCTTAAAGCAGATAGGCTACAGCAGCAGAAGACCACACCGGGTGTCAGTCCTGGCAGCTAAGAACAAGAAAGGGAGGCTACAATTCGCACAGGCTCACCAAAATTGGACAATAGAAGATTGGAAAAACATTGCCTGGTCTAATGAGTCTCAATTTCAGCTGTGACATTCAGGTGGTAGGGTCAGAATTTGACATAAATAACATGGTGATGGTGGTGTAATGGTGTAGGGGATATTTTCTTGGCACTAACAAGGTGTACCTAATAAAGTGGCCGATGAGTGTATAGTGTACATCATACTAATTAATATCAGGTAAAACTGTTATTGTGATTCTATTTTCTGCAATTGGTCTTTGTTAACAAATTAAAACATTTACCTCTTTCAGTGACTTGACCAAGTCTTTGGTGTCCAGTTGGTGAAGGTTGCCTAGTACGGGAATGGCTCTGGGACCTGGTGGAAGCTTACCCTTCTTCTTATTGAGAATCATCAGGAAGGACAAACAGAGAGCAACCAACGCAACAGTCATAGAACACAATTCTATCCTTTCCCATCCTGAGAAAATAAGTAAACGGAGAATAAACAGTATATGGACTGTTGATTTCTATACTGAGCTGAATGGACAACAGTTTGTAAAAAAGACATTTTGCACCTGTCTAGAGTTGTTCATGAACGGGAGCATGCACCAGCAAAAAAATGTCCCATATACAGGCATAAATATACACTATATACTGTAAATAAATATAATATATAATATACACTGGGCCTGTTCAATTCGAAAAAAACCAGCCCATCCAAGATCTGCTGAGTTCAGGCAGGTGAGCGTATCATGACGTGGTAATGTCAGGCAGGTGGGGCCAGCTTGATGCTGGTGCTGCAGTCCACTTGTCCTGCTCATTGCAATTGAGAAGCTGGATCATACCATCAAGAACAGAGACACTTACACTGTATAGTGTCATATTCAGGGTTGCCATCCGTTCATTTATCAACAGTTTTTTAAATAGAGTTATTTTCTTTGGGTCCATGGACAGGAACAAGGGCCAGTAAATATGTTCTCTTGGCTGCTGGATATACACTGCGCAATCAAGATGGGAAGATCCGAAATCGGCTGATGATGCCATGGCAGGCGGGGCCAGCTTTACTTTCAGCTTTTAGGGCTCTGAGGAAGAGGTTGTGTCCTCGAAACGCATTAGCCAGTTGGTCATCCAGGGTTCCATCGTATGGACTCAGATGTTGTTTGGATCATATATCTTGTTCAGTTTGACATGCCTGTGTTATTATGTCCATTGTGAGTATGATACCTATTTTTGTTTCTTTAATAAATTATTTTAAACAATAATGCACTAGGTTGGTGCGCCCTATTTCTGTTTCTCCATTTTGGGCCAGCTTTACACTGGTACTGCAGTCCAACTGTCCTTCTGTTCCACGATTGGTTAATCATTATCATGGTATACATTGTATAGTGTCATATTTAGTGTGAATTATTGCCTATATTGATTTGACAGACCAGGATATTATGCAACCATTTTAAACAAACACATATTAAATCCTCTGTTCTGGCTTAGCTCTTGGCATCATCATCCACAGTTCAATCCAAGTACATGGCAATATAGCAGAAACCAATACTCCAGCATTGTTTGACCCATTTTTAAACACTATACACTAGGTGAAGTAAAATCAGGGCTTTCGTTCAGCAGGAACTCGGGAGAACGCAGCACTGAATGTATGTAATGGCATGGGATGCTTGGGTGTGCTAGAGGATCTAATGATGCTGGCTGCTGAAGGATTTATTGTTGCTGGGTATAGGGGATCCATATTTGTGGGGGGGGGTTTATTGTTGCGGGGGAGGTTTATTATGACTGGTGGGTGATCTATTGTTGCTAACGGTGGACCTTATGTTGCTGGGGGACAGTTGTTGCTGGAGAGGATCTACTGTTGTGGGAAGGGTCTATTGTTGCTGACTATTGGGGGTTTATTGATGCTGGCCATGGGGAGATCTGTTGTTGCTGGAAGGGATTTATTTTTGTGGGGGGTCTATTTTGCTAGTGGGGGATATATTGTAGTTAGGGGTGGGTCTTATGTTGCTGGGGGGATCAATTGTGGCTGACTGCTCGAAGGTCTATTGATGCTGGCTGCAGGAAGATCTGTTGCTGCCACCGGTGGTCTAATTTTGCTGGGGGGTCTATTGTTGCTGGAGGGGGTCTACTGTTTATGGCTGAAGGGGTTCTATATTACTGCTTTTCTTGTTATCATTAACAAATTCCATACAGATTACTTGGCACCACAAAACAATGCCTGGTTCTGTAATTTCTAAAAGAGCGGTGCTGGGAGGTGGGCAGAGGTTGGAACAGTGCTTGGAGGAGGGTAGAAGGTGGTACCAAGGAAGAGTGCTTGGAGGTGGGTAGGAGGTGGTACCAAGGAACAGGGTTTGGAGGTGGGTAGGAGGTGATACCAAGGAACAGTGCTTGGAGGTGGGTAGAGGGTGGTATCAAGGAACAGGGCTTGGAGGTGGGTAGAGGGTGGTATCAAGGAACAGGGCTTGGAGGTGGTACCAAGGAACAGGGCTTGGAGGTGGGTAGGGTAGGAACAGGGCTTGGAGGTGGTACCAAGGAACAGGGCTTGGAGGTGGGTAGGA